ACCTACCTAATAATGGCCTTGCATAAATACATACATTTTATATTGATTCTGGTCCCCAGAGAACCCTTACACAGTTACAGACTCTATGATTCCATTGTATAAGATATGTTAAAAAGAAAAAACATTTAGAAATGAAGGGCAGATAAGTAAGTGGTTGCCAACAATCAGGCAGTGGGATGGGGAAGGAAGGAGGTGGGTGTAGAAGCGCTCTGTATCTTGACTATAATGGTAGGTACATAAAGCTACACATGCGATAAATTTGCACTGAGAGGCCAGCTCAGTGGTAGAACACTTGTCTGGCCTGAGCAAAGCCCAGGGTTGAATCCCCGACACCACTTAAAAAAGAAATTTTTTTAGGGTGAAAAAAATCACATTCATCTAAACATTCCACAAGACCATATAATAAAATTGTACATTAAAAATTCCATATCAACTGCCAAATTAAAATCAAGAATTTTTTGTAAAATGACAACAGAAGGGGCCAGGGATTTAGCTCAGCAGTTCGGTGGCCTGCCTTGCAAGCACAAGGACCCAAGTTCAATCCCCGGTACCGGAAAAAAAAAGGAACAATAGAAGAATGTTTTAAAGTAACAAATTATGCACTTATAATAGAGGTGGATCTTGATCAAAGGACACAAAATTTCAATGTGAAATGAGGAATAAGTTCAAGAGGTTTATTGTACAGCATGGTGACTGTTAATACTGTATCACAGTCTTAAAACTCACTAAGACAATAGCTGTTAGGTATTCTCACTACAGAAAACGATAAGCGTGTGACGTAATGCATATGCTGATTAGGTCAGTTAGCTATTCCACATATAGAAGATATATATGATGTATTAATGCATAAAATACATAAAAATAGCTAAAGAAGTAATGTTCAAATTAAAATTTAAAAACTATAGCCAGGTGTGGTGGCGCACTCCTGTAATCCCAGCACTTGGGAGGCTGAGGTAGGAGGATTGCTGTGAGTTTGAGACCAGCCTGGGCTACACAGTGAGTTCTAGGTCAGTCTCAACTACATAGTGAGACCCTGTCTCAAATAACCAAAAAATAAATAAATAAATAAATAAAATAAAATTTAAAAACTATAAAACATGAAGAAAATATAAATAGATGAAGAAAATGTCTTGTTCACCCTGGGGTTCTACATGGATATGCTTGACATACTTGTCACACTGTCTTTCCTTTTGATATCCAGCCTCTGGCTTCTGAAACAACTGATTCCCTTTCTTGGGTCCCTTTCCCTGCTGTGTGCAGTTTTGTCATGACTATCACTCCAAACATCCCACCCTGCTCCTCCTATCAAGCTGTTCAAACAAGGACCACTGGATTCATTGTCAGCATGTGAAATTGAAGCAAGACTTCTCCAAGTTGGAGAGCTGCTGAGCAGGGCAATATAAACAGAATTGCATTCTGCTGGCTCCAGCTCTCTTTGGCTGCTGTAGTTCTTCCCGTTCCTGTATCTGATTAAGCATTCCTTCACATCTATGAGCTACTCCAAGTCCTTTCCTTTAAATCAGCAGTCTTAGGATTTCAACCCGCCGAAGATTAAAACTAGACCTTATCTTTCATCATGCACTAAACTACAATCCAAGTGGATTAAAGATCTAAGTATTAAAACAGAAACACTAAACTTGCTGGAAGATAAGTTAGGCAGAACTCTTGAAGACATTAGCATAGGAAAAGACTTTATGAACAAATCCTCAGTAGCACAGAAACCATCACAAAGAATCAACAACTGGGATCTCATCTTATTAAAAAGCTTCTGCACTGCAAGAGAAACCATCAACAGAACTAAGAGACAACCTACAATGTGGGGAAAAATTTCACCAGCTGCTCCTCAGACAAAAGACTATTATCTAGAATATATAAAGAACTAAAAAAATCAGGCCCCCCAAATATAAAAACCCAGTTCAAAAATGGGCATCTGAAATGAACAGACATTTCTCAGACGAAGTAAAAGCAGCAAATATATGGAAAAATGTTCAACACCACTGGTCATTCAAGAGAGGCAGATGAAAACAACACTGAGATTCCACCTCACCCCACTAAGCATGGCTGCTATCAAGAAATCAGACAATAACAAATGTTGGCAGGGTTGGGGGGAGAAAGGAACCCTTCTCCATTGTCGGTGGGAGTGCAGACTGGTACAACCACTATGGAAATCAATATGGAGATATCTCAAAGAACTAGGATTAGAGGTTCCATTTCACCCAGCCACCCCTCTGCTGGGTATCTTTCCAGAATAATTAAAATAATCACCCCAAAGTGATATATGCACACCCATGTTTATAGCAGCACAGTTTGTAATAGCAAAAACTTTGAAACAGACTAATTGCCTTATCAATTGGAGACTGGATAAAGAGATGTGGTTTTTCTGTAAAATGGAGTATTATTCAGCCATGAAGTATGAGAAATTAGAGTCATTCATAGGAAAATGGATGCATATTGAGGCCAATACTCTTGTAAAATAAATAAGACACATATGTGTAATACCAGATAGTTTCTCTGGTGGGAAAAACTAAAAATGTAAATAAGATCCAAATTGTATAATTGATAATGTGAAATAGAAAAGGGCTAAAGGTGTAGGGGAAGTGGGAAGGTAAGGGGAAAAGAAATAAGGGGGAAAATATGAGAAAAGGAAAAAATGGAAACAAAATCTTTGTAAATAGGGGAGGGTGAGGGGGTGAAGAGAGGGCAGGGGTATGGGGAAAACATGAGAACCAAGATCTGTTATGTAAAGGTACAAGATCCCAATGATAAATGTAACTGTACCGTATACTTTAAAAACACCAATAAATTCAATGAAAAAATAATAAAATAAATCAGCAGTCTTAGGCAGTTTGGCTGTTATAACATAACCATAGACTGAATGACTTAAACAACAGAAATTTGTTTCTCATAGTTCTGGAGCCTGGGAGGTCAAGGGCAAGGTGGCTGGCCGATCTGGCTCTGATGAGAACACTAAGCTCTTTCAGGAGGGCTTCACCCTCATAACTTGCTTAATTACACCTCAAAAGCCCCATCCCCTAGGACATCACACAGGAGATTGAGGCATCTACATGTGAATTTGGGGGAAACACAAACATTCAGTCCATAGCCTCACCGTAAGTCTGTTTTTGATTTTTTTCAACCGAAGAACAGTGATTGAACCTAACAGAAAGGCACAGTATTATAAACATGTCAATTGTATCTAAATTAATCTGCAATTCATATGAAGAATCAATAAAAAAGATCACATCAAATAAAAAGCTCTTGTGCAGGGAGAGGAAACAACCAACAGAGTGAAGAGACAACCCAGAGTGGGGAAAAATATTTGCCATCTACTCCTCACATGGGATTAGTACAGTAGACTCTCGACTTGTGAACTCTTCTTTCTCAAGGGCTGGTTGTAACTTAACTTGGTCAATGAATGTTCAGTCTCCTCTACACAGCCTTCAAAGTCTCTCTCCTGTATACATGCAGATCTCAGTGTCCTTAGAGAGACACTGGCCCAGGATTTCTCAGTTAACCCCACATGGGAAAGGATGTTGCACTGTTCCTTCCAGAACAACTTAGGGTTAAGTCTGTATCTGAGACCATCTGGAAGCACAAACAGCCGGCATTCAGGTCATAACTCAAGACTTTGGTCATAAGTTAAAACTACAGTTTTGATCATAACCCAAGTTGTTCGTATGTCAGGTCAGTCATGACTCAAGGATCCACGGTATCTAGAATATATTAAATTTTTTTTTAAATTGGACCCCCCCTTGCTGAGCATGGTGGTGCACGCCTGTAATCCCAGCACTCGGGAGACTGAGGCAGGAGGATCTCTGTGAGTTCAAGACCAGCCTGGGCTACATAGTGAGTTCCAGGTCAGTCTCGACTACACAGTGAGACCCTGTCTCAAAAAACCAAAATAAATAAATAAATAAATAAATAAATAACAATAATAATTGGACGCCCAGTATAAAGACCAAATCTAAAAACGGGCATCTGAAATGGATAGACATGTCTCAGATGAAGTACAAACAGCAAATACATGAAGAAATGTTCACCGTCACTGATCATTTGAGAAATACAAATTAAAACAACAGAGACTCCATCTCACTCCAGGAAGAATGGCTCTTGTTAAGAGACCAACCAATAATAAATGCTGGTGAAGCTGTGGGGGGAAGAAAGAACCTATCACTGCTGGTAGGAGTGTAAATTGGCACAAACACTGTGGAAATCAGTATGGAGATTCCTCAAAAAACTGAAACTAGAGGTTCCATTTGACCCAGTTATTCCCCTTCTGGGGATCTTCCAAAAAGAGTTGGACATCATACCACAGTGAAACATGCACACTCACGTTTATGACAGTGTAACTTATAATAGCTAAATCTTGGAATCAGCCCAAATGCCCATCAAATAAATGGATAAATGGATAAAGAAAATGCAGCATTGCTACACAGCGGAGTACTACTCTATGATAAAGAAGGATAAACTTGAGATGTTTGAAGGTAAATGAATGCACCTAGAGACCATAATCCTAAGTGAAATCAATGAGACACACGCGTTTAAATGCCACATTGCTTCTCTTGTGGGAGAAACCCAAGGTGTAAACAAGGAGCAAAACAGAGGACAGTGGAAAGTAGGAAGAACTTGTTCAGATGGGAAGAGGAATAAGCGTGGGGGGATTAAAAAAAGAACTGAAAGGGGGAAATGGAAATGGCTTTTGTGTATCAGGAGGGGAAGAATGGGGAAATGGGGAAAACTTTAAGATATGTTACGCACGGGTACAAATTCCTCATGATGAATGCGATCAGTATGTATGGCAGACATGTGCTAATAGAAAAATTAATCTGTAATTCACTATAATGCAAACCAAAACCATAACAGAACTGGAACAGAGTTGTGAAGTTCCTCCTGCCAAACGGCACTCAGCTTGGGGTGTACGTGGCGTCACCTGGGGGTTATGCTCTCTGCTCCCCGGTGATTAAATGGGCACCTCTGGGCCTGAAGGTGGTGGTACTCACTGAAGCTCCACGGACAATTACCAGTGACCCCAAGGTTAGGAACTTAGCTTCTGAGATCAGACGAGAGTGGGTGCGTTCAGGATGGTACGGCCGTAGACTGCTGCAATTGAACGAACAGGTAAGAATAGCAAGAAACCTTAGGAAAGAAAAATGACTCAAGTGTATACAATTGAAAATATGCTAAAGGTGGCACTTCACATCACTGGAGGAACTAAAAATGAGTTGCCCAGTGAATGATGGAACTAACCAGCTAACCATTTGGAAAAATAAAGCCATTAAAATAAATTCTAAATCAAATATCAAAATTAAAAAATTGAGCCAAGCATGGTGACACACGCCTGTAACTGAAGCACTCAGAAAGCTGAGGGAAGAAGATCTCAAGTTCAAGGCCAGCCTGACTGCTTGATGAGACCCTGTCTCCAAAAACCAAAAAAATAAAGTAAGCGTATCATAACTATAACATATGCTCCTTTCTCCTGTGTAGTATTTATTTATTCATCTTTTGGTTTATAATATTCCAGTCTTCCTCGAGAAACCAGTCATCTATAATTTTTGAACTATTTAATTGGAGATTGAAATTAAAAAGGCAAAAATGTTAACCTTGCTGGGTGTGGTGCCACACATCTGTAATCCCAGCACTGGCAAGTCTGAGGCAGGAGGATCAGTGTAAATTCAAAGCAAGCCTGAACTACATAGCATGACCCTGTCTCAAAAAGGGGGAAAAAAAAGAGAGAGAAAGCATTCACCTTTATTGGAAATTAAAGAATATAATAAAAACAATGACTGCTGTGGGCAGACACGGTGGCCGCTCTTGAGGCCCAAAGGCCTTCCAAGTTAGGCCCCCCTGGGGCTCAGTCAGTGTGCCGAAGACCCCAAGAGTCAGCAGTCTCCCTGAGGGCAACAGTTTTATTGAGTATTTATCTCATTCACAGCAAATCTCACCCCCAGCATAAACAAAAAGCTGGGGGCTGTGCCATCGGTGGAGGACCCTGCTTACCCTCGGCCAATACGCCCTGAGAACACAGGTGGGAATGGGACGGGCAGCCCTGGAACTCACCCTGATCCGGAGCCCGGGACCCAAGCAGGGCACTCAGGATGGGCAGTGACGACCACAGGCAAAAATATATATTTTTAGAAAACATTCTTATAAGTTTCTTGACAGGGTTCACAAGATGATAAGCTTTCTGGCTTGTAGGCCATATGGTTACCACCCTGTACAGGTCTCACACAGGCACACGTGTCTAAGGTTCTAACAAGCCAGTTTAGACCCAGAAAGTTTAGACCCAGACAGAAGCATAAGATGGCTTCTGTCCTGCTCACATCAAGTGACCTAACACTTGTCACCCATCATAAAATTAAAAAATTTTAAAATAAGACATTATCAATACCTGCTCTTGGTTCTATGTGAGAATCAGAAAATCCTGAAGTAGAAATGGCAGGAACCATTATAAATGTATATACGGTACCTTCAATCCAGTAATTCAACTTGTGGTAATACACTAGGTGACAAGAAGTTAAAAATCACAAAGCTGGGCCAGGGATTTAGCTCAGGGGTTCCACCGCCTCTCTCCCAAGCACCGGAGTTCGATTCCGGATACAAAAAAAAAAAAAAAAAAAAGCTACACATACATTACAGCTTTGCCTCCACAGTGCCAAGCTGAAAACAAGTTAAAAGTCTCCCAAGAGGAAACATATCTACACCTACAGATGTGTGGACGTTACAGAGCTGTGACCCTTCATGCCTTTAGGACGGCTGCTACACCAGCGCAGTTCTCTTGCGTTTCCTCCGAGCCAGGCCCTGTGGGGAAATCCCTATCCAGATGGGCTTGCCGGAGGCCATGCTGACCTGGGTCAGGGTTCTGCTGGGGTGCAGGTGAGCGGAGGACAGTCACCTCCGCCTCCCCTCGGGGAGGCCTCGGCCCTGTCTGGCCCGGCCCGGGGACTCAGGAGTTTCTCTTTTGCTCTGTGAACATAGTTTGGATCTTTGATTTTTAAACCAGATGTGGGCCGTCTGCTCTGGGACGCCGATCTCCTTGGCGAGCCGCTCTGTGGCGTTTGGTTTCGGACGGGGGTTGTTCAGAAACGCCTGGGCCAGCACCTGCGACTGTGAGGCGCTAAAGCTGGTGCGAGGCCGCCTGACCTCCACACGTCTCTGGTGCAGCCAGTTTCGCGGGTGAGCCTGGCCCGACTCAGAAGCCTCCTGAGGCTCTGGCCTCTGGAACAGGTGGCTGTTTCTGTGATTCTGAAACCAAGCCTGTATGACTGTGTCCTCGGTGTTGCTTTGCCGAGCAAGGACAGGGCACAAGGCATCAGACGGTTTGTTATCGGGTGAGTAGGGACCAGTAGTCTTTTTCAGGTTCTTATTTGTCCTGATCAGTGAATTGGTCAGGACAACTGGTGGGTGTGAAAGATTACTGTTTATTTTAGGGAAGAAATAAGAAAAAGCAGAAGAAGCACAAAAGAAGTGCTCAGGGAGAATAGGGTGCTTTGAAGGAAGAGAGAAGCGGCGTCCTGCAAGCAGAACTGACCACTGCGAGGACAAGCGGGCAGGGCCCCAGGTCAGTCGCTGCGTCCTTCTACGTCTTCTTTGGTAGTTGACCCAGGTGTCCCACCGGAGCTCGTGCTAGGAGTCTGATGTCAGGGGCCAGGTTCGGTTCGGCGTGTTCTCGGATCAGAAGATTGGCACCAGGTGCAGGGCCGGGCTGGATCCCGTGTCAGGCTCAGGTGCTGCTGTTCTGTGCCTGTGGTTAACAAGTCTCCATCGGGAGGTCGTGTCCGACTACTCCAACCACCTTGTCACACCCTCACCTCCTACTACATGGAGACTGTACATATGTGAGAGGAAGGGAGCCAACTGTTTTATCAGGAACCCACCCCATTAACCAGAACACCACTTACAGGTTACCCCTCGGTGGTGTATTACGGATTAAGTTTCCATCACATGAACTTCAGGGAGCAAATGCCAGCCACAGGAAATCCAATGGACCTTGAGGACATTCCGTTAAGTGAAATAAGACAGCCCTAAGAGGAAAATACTGTATGATTCCATCTACATGAGGGGCGAGAGCAGTCAAACTCATGGAGACAGAAAACAGAATGGTGTTTGCCGGCAGCCCAAGTGTGGGTGCTGGGGACTTGGCAGTTGAGTGTTTAATGAGTAGGGATTCAGCCTAGTACAATGAAATAGTTCCAGAGATGTATGATGTGATGTGTATATACCAAAGTAAGTGTACTTAATGACAGAGAACTGAACATTTAAAAATGGCTAAAGTTGCCAGGCGTGGTGGCGCATGCCTGTAATCCCAGCACTCGGGAGGCTGAGGCACGAGGATTGCTGTGAGTTCGAGACCAGTCTGAGCTGCATAGTGAGTTCCAGGTCAGTCTTAACTACATAGTGAGACCCTGTCTCAACCCCCGCTCCCCCCAAAAATAAAATAAAATAAAAATGGCTAAAGTGGAGTTGGACGTGATACCACATGTCTGTGATTCCAGCACTCTGGGAGGCTGAGGTAGGAGGATTCAAAGTTTGAACCCAACTTGGGCAATTTAGTGATTTAGTGAGACTTTGCCTCAAAACAAAACAAAACAAAAGTTAAGGTGATAAAGTCTATGTTGCGTATATTTTATACTACAATAAATTTTCTGTGGAAAAAAGGGTTTTATTCTGGTTTCAAGATTTCACTTTATCATTCTTATCTGAGAAATTTGCTTTCATGGTGAATCATTCAAGAATGACTCTTTAGGGCCTGGGCCTGTAATCTCTGCTGTTTGGAAGGCTAAGGCAAAAGGATGGCAGGTGGGAAGGCAGCCTGGACAGCACTGCACAGGACTCCCATAAAAAAGAAAAAGAAAAGATTATTCTGAGGGCTGGGGACTTAGCTCAATGGCACTGCACTGGCCTCACAAGTGCAACATCCTGAGTTCAATCCCCAGTACCAGAGGGAGGAAAAAAAGATGACTCTGAAGCACAAACATTGAGAACATGCAGCAGCAAAATTCCCTCAATGTCGTTCTTCACAGTTGCTCCTTGTTTTGGAATCATTGTTTATAAAGCAGGAAGAGCAAAGTTCTTAAAAGCATCAAGCCTTCTGTACATAACGTCAACCTCAAATGCAGTTATAGGAAATCAGGTGGTGACATCCTAAATCCCTAGTCATGTCTCTGTGGAGTCATTTTCCACACTGGCATTTTGTTTCACATTTTCTCAACAGCTCCATTCAACCCCAGGAAGCTGCTCTTAAGAACCTAGTAGCCCAACCATGAGTGCCAGAACCCTAGAATCTGAAAGGATTCGTGTGACTCACTAAGAACCCTTAACTAGAGGTGATCTGGTTCATTCTCTGGCCTGGGACTAAATGGTGAGACTATTTCCACTCAAAATAGGAACCAACATCCAAATGGAATCCTATTTCTTTTATTTTAAAATAAGAGGACTGAAAAAAGAAAAATAAGAGAACTGGAGCTATAGCTCAGTGGTAGAATGCTTGCCTAACATGTGTAAGGCCCTGGATTTGATCTCCAGCACCACAGGAGATAAAAAGAACACAAGCACAAATATAGATATGGGACTTTGGGTTACTGAATACTGTGATTTAAGGAAGATGCTCTAGGCAGGTGTGGTGGTGCACACCTATGATCCCAGCACTCTAGAGGCTGAGGCAGGAGGATCGCCACAAGTTTGAGGTCAGCCTGGGCTACAAGTGAGTTCAAGCTCAGCCCAGACTAGAGACCCTGTCCTGAAAAAAACACTTAGAGAGTGAGAATAAGAGAGAAAGTGGAGCTTCCACATACATAAAACAAATCCTTCACCTCCAATGGGCTGCATAACAATACTTTATTTTAAAACTGGCTCTACTGCAGCTACTTAGCATAGAATATCATCAGCATAGAGGGAGAAATAATGCCAACTTCCCATGAGAAAATCCAAACTTTAAGCCACCTGAAAGCAAGTAAACGCTTCCTTTTCTGTCTGTTTAAATACATACAAAGGTTAGAGACCCAAAAGTATGAATGTAGAGTGGGACCTTATAAAATGTGATCCAAGGTGTAGCTGACTTTGATTAAGGTTCCCATTTACAGTTAAACAGTAATGCTGTTCAA